TGTGGTTACGTTCCCGCCTGGCTTTGGAGCAATATTGCAGCGGTAGCGTGCATCATCGCGAAGTCTGAACGCTTTCCACGGAAGCTAAGGCAGCGTTCAGACCTATGGCAAGCCTCGGTCGCGCGTTCGGCGCGATCGATGCACATGCTTTCAACTGCATTGATCGCGTCGAAGTCGCGAAGTCTGAACGCTGCCGCCTTAATAGTCGTTGAGAGTTCAAAATGGGTGCTCCGAGCAGCGCTGTTCGTTTACCTTCGGGATTGGTTGATTCACTTTTTCAATGTGGTTTTGGAAAACAGAGGAAAAGAGAATGCCTAAAATTACAGGGCATACTTTATTGTTAATTCCTCAATGGTTCATTTTGCCCTTTCACATTCTCCACACTAGTTGAGGGAATGCAGGAGTTCCCTTTTGGTTCTGAAAAGATGCAGTTATAGTCTGATGCCGACGCGTTCTCCAAAAGGTTAGAGAGATGGACGACATGGCTGGAAGAAAAGAAGGCAGAACAGGAAAAGAAACAACCATATGAGGAACCGGCAGTGATGACAAGTGAAGTGCATGCCAAGGTGAGATTGATGCTCGCTCTAAAAACGTTATTGGCAAGATGTTCAAAAGTTGAAACATGCCCAACTACATTGTTTACTTTCAGATTAAATCGCTGGAACGCGAATTAAACTCGTTCATGAGGAAGATGAGACAGACTAGAATCAAAGATGTAGAAGACCTTAAGAAGAACGATACCAACAAGACCGAAACGTCTGATAAACAAGGAGCTGAGGGAGCTGGAACAGCTGAGAAGGAAGCTGCCAAAAGAGAAGAAGGAAAGGCTGATTCCCAAACAACCGATCAGCCTGTGAACGAGACAGAGGGTGCGCCACCAGCTGAGAAGGAAGGCGCTGAAGAAGCCCGAGAGGCAAAGAGCGAAGCCGAAACAACCGAGAAGCCAGATAAGGATGCGGAAGGAAAGGATGATAAGGTGGAACTGTAGGGTAGGCATTGACGTTTAGCTGTTTTTGGTTAGGTTAAGCCAAATCATGCCGAAGGGGTCAATAATTACGTTTAATGGGAGATACTGGTAATAATTAGCGTGTGGTTGTTATTTCCCCTTCTCCGTATTTCGTCGCGTTTGTCTTCTTTATAATCATCTCATTTATAATATTTTAATAAGTAGCAATGCAAGAGCTGTTTGTCCTCTCCGTGAAAAAAAAATGCTGTGATTCTGACTGATTTGTGAATTTTTCCCTCCAGCTTAAATGGTACCATGTGTTCTGAAATCCACAATTTTGAAAATATTTATTGAAATTCGTGCTTCAATCGTTATTTATTATTGTTTTTCATAAATATTCTGTTTAACAGAGCTACAATACACAACACGTGAAACGGAACCGATTCGTAGAGGTATATGAAAGGTGAAGCAACCATAAGGCAGGCGGTCGCGACGCGACTACAGCAATACAACAAAGGCAAAAGTGGTTGGGGGGGGGGTGTTAATTGAATGACAAGCATGCTGAATGGAACAAGAAAATACAATTCTAACAAGTACACTGGAAACACGCTGTACAGTCATCTGGGAGGTGGAATCTTTCCATGAGGCAACGGTGGGAGTGTAGGAGTCACGCTTATTGGAGGTACACAGGTGTGAATAGTAGTGGTTTGGTGTGTCCTTTGTCTCCGCCCACCAATCATCAATACGCGGCACGCCACACGCCGTACGACCAGACACACTTAACAATAGCCACTTGGCGCATGGTATGCGTGTCGCGTATTAAATGGTGGGCGGAGACGTAAGGAATACGAACCTATCATGCAACTCTAGCTTCACTGTCGCTCATTTACATTCGGTGGGAGTACTGCAAATTCCACTGCTGCTGTCATGGTAACCTCACGTGACTGTACAGTATGACTTTAGTTTTCTTGGAAGATCAGCTCCCTCTACTAATTTTTCTATTGTCATAAGAAAGGTAGCAGTTGTTCTCGTCGCCTGACGCCCAAATCAGCCGCTCGGCGAGCGCGGCGAAGTTGAGCGGCAGTGGGCCGTCAGGCAGGGTTTAAACCTCGCGATGACGCGCGTCAGCACACTGTAACGCGCTGCTGTGCTATAGACGCGAACGCAGCCACATAGGGGGAATCAATCGACGTCGACCGCTTTGTGTTTCTGAGAGTATCGGATAGAGAGGTGTGTGAATCGCGCAGTCTGCGTATCCGATCGGCGTTGGTCGCTACTGCTTTGGGAGAGTATAGGATTAGAGCGTGCCAGATAAAGTGGTGGCAACGCCTACCTTCCTGTTGTCCTGTACCCTCCTGGAAAGCAAGCGTCCCATGGTGCGTTCGCGTCCGACGCGCGACATCGTGAAGTTTGAACAATGCCTTACGAAGTCGCCGTTCGATTAGGTAGGCGACATCGCGCGCGACGAAACATTATTATGTGCGAAGAGAACATATGCTAGACATTTTAATGAGGTAGTTACCTCTACTTACGCGCCGCAAGAGTGCCCGTTGTTGATGCCATCGATTGTGCCCCCAAGGAATCTACAGAAACTCTGAAACCTAAAACCCTGAATTTGGCCCATAAACGGTTCCGTATGGATATACCCAAAAGTACTGTTGGCGTTGAGGTTGCGATTGTACAGTTTGTGGCCAATACCATTGCGAGGAAGGCTGCATATTTTGATAAATGGGGAACGCCACCCGTTGTTGATACTGTGGCCAATAGTAACGCCCGGTCCTGGGGTCATATTCCTGAGTAAATCTATTGACGGGGACAAAATTGAATTGTGACCGAAGTGGTCGCTGAGTTGTAGGAAGGAATTCAGGTTGGTTATTCATAACACGATTATTTGGTCGCAATACAGCAGCGGATCGATCGGATCCCTCACCGACTGCATCACTGGCTATTGGAATAAATGTATCTGGATTACCAAGAGGTATAGGTGCAGGTGTTGGGGGTGGTTGTTCGTTGGAGAAGAAAGCTTGTTGGATATCTGTCTGCGACGCAGAGTTCATCAGAGCGAATGGAGCAAAAGCAGGACCGATAAAGTGGCCGAGAATGGTGGAGATGCGCTGAAAAGTGATAAAATCAGTACAATAGGCTTTCGTGGCCTTCAGAGCTTTTAGTTGATAACGTCGCAATCAGTCGGGGCCGTGTTAGGAGGGGCAGAATGAGCCCGCCTCCAGCTGCTTCGCTTCACCAACGGTGTTCGTATGACGATTTAGGACAAAAACAACAAATGGAGGAAAATCAGTGGCTGGGCTAATTCTATCGCTCCTGAAACCGTTACGAGTGATCGCGACGATATAACCGGTAAGTACAACGAGTCAGGGGGAATACTTCGTCGTATCTTTATCTTTTCTAGAAATACCCCGATGGACGTGCTCGTAGGTACAGTTCATAGGCTTATAGGTATCTCGGAGATGGGAGGGTGTGGCTGCGTACTTCATATGAATTTAGCTTCCATTTTCCTTCTGCTAGGATCTCTCCGTTTTGAGAAGACTGTAGTCATGTCATTGCAAAACAAAAGATAGGATGGCAGCTATATCAAATGAAAATGTCTCAGCAAGAAGAAGAGCCGCTGCGTCCAAATGAAACATGCAGCCACGCCCTTCTTATCCCTGGGATATGGGCTGCAGACCGAGTATTGGGCAGATACAACAGTATCACGCGACAGGGAACTCAGAAAATAGAGTGATTCTTTGACCCGGAATCTTTTTAAGCCTAAATCTTCATATGTATGTAAGGGTTTTAACTGTGTACAAGATGCGCCGCTCAGCATTTTGATGACCCAAACCGACTAGACAGAGCGAGCCTATCGTCTCTCAGAGATCGCTTCAGTTATCCGAATTTGGGCGAAGTTCTGCTCGG